CTAATAGTATAATAGTTTAAAGTTAATTTAGTAGCTTTCTATTTAATAATTATAAGGAGGTAGCTACCTTTACTAGGAAATATTTACTACTTAATTCTCTTATCTTACCTTTAATAATATATTAAGGTTATTATAGTACTATTTAATCTAGGGAATTAGTAATTCCTTATTAAGTAAAACTATATAAACTAGGCCGCTATAGCTCTTAAAGCACTTAGGAAATACTTTAGTACTAGGTTAATAAGCAAATAAATTACTATAACTAATAATATATTAAAAAGGTTATTTCTTTTTATAAATTTTTTACTATTTAGATTATTAAAAGCTTAAGTTTTAGTATTATTAGTAATTTTTACTTTTTTATCTTAACTTCTTTAGCTTAAATAGCTATATAATTAAAGCTATTATAAAGTAAGGTAATATAAAGGGTTAGGGCAATTAGTACTAGGCTTTTAAAGAATTAATTTACCTTACTTTTTCTTTAAGGTTATAATTTAATTTTACCTTTTTATATTTTTATAATTTTTTTAGTTATACTAAGGTAATATAGCCTTAAGCTTTTTATATAAAGTAATTACTTAATATATAACCTTTAATAGTTTAGTTTAAAGTATAAAATATACTTATTAGTAAATATTTATAGGTTTATTATTAGGCCTAAATAGGTATAACCTTATTTCTTAGTAAATTAAGGTATTATTAGCCTTTATAATATATTATTAGCCTTAATAATACTAGTTTTTATTATTTTTAGGGGATATAGGGCACTTTAAGTACCTAGTTCTCTCCCTATAAGGGGTTTTTTAGCGGCTTAATCTCTATAATAAGGTATTTTTGCCTTCTGAATTTAATAGTAATAGCTAAAATCCCTCTAATTGTATAGCAAATATATGCATAAGGGGCTTATAACCTGTTAAGAGGGATATGTATGTATTGACTGTGGCTAACTAAGGTCTCGGGCCAGGAGGTCCGGCTGATATACAAGGTAGGTGCCTCAGGCACCTTCAACAGATACTAGGTAAGGTGGTAAATCTAGGGGAAGAATTGAGGGGCACCTTGACTGTCATAGCTTCTGATGAGGTTCCAAAGTCTCGGAGCTTCGCGATACTGTAGCAGGTAAGGAAGGTAGTGAGAAGTTCCCTTGGCTACCAAGGTAACTTATAATAAAGAAAGACCTTGGTTTTCAACCGTGTCTGTGATTTCCTTCACACCTTATCCAACATCTATCTCTTGTCAAAATGAGTCTCCAAGTTCAACTTACTGCCCCCACCCCCGCCTTCAGGCCTTCCCCTCACCCAAGGACTGCCCTGAATTACCCCAACCCCTTGCACCAAAATCTAACACCCTCAGGCCTTTTCATCAACAATGAATTCGTAGAGGCAAAGTCTGGCAAGACCATTGTCGCGATCGACCCCGCCACCGAGAAGACAATCGCCGAGGTGCAAGCCGCCGGTGAAGAGGAAATTGACATCGCTGTCAAGGCCGCTCGCAAGGCTTTCGAGAACCCTGAATGGAAGGATCTTGATACCTCTGAGCGCGGCAAGCTTCTGCTCAAGCTGTCTGTCCTGGCGGAGAGAGATGCCGAGATCCTGGCCACAATCGACAGCTAGGACAATGGCAAGCCTTACACTGCTGCTATGGCCGAGGATGTCGCCGAAGTTATCTCTGTCTTCCAATACTACGGCGGCTGGGCCGACAAGAACCACGGTCAGATGATCAATATCAACTCTGACAAGTGGGCTTATACTCGCCACGAGCCTGTCGGTAGGTTTTCTCAATTCACGGCTGCTGCTGCTCATCATGTTTCGAGTTGGGCCATGGGGCTGACCATCATTCAATAGGGGTTTGCGGACAGATCATTCCCTGAAACTACCCCGTCATGGTAAGTACCTTACCTCAATTCAACCGTGATTTGAAAGAAACAGAAACTAAAACTCCGACGTAGATGGCAGCCTGGAAGTTGGGCCCTGCTCTTGCATGCGGCAACACCGTTGTGCTCAAGGCTGCTGAGCAGACCCCTCTCTCAGTCCTGTACCTGGCTAAGTTGATCAAGGAGGCTGGCTTCCCCGCTGGTGTCGTCAACATCGTCAACGGTTATGGAGCCGAGGCTGGATCTGCCATTGCTGCCCATCCTGGTGTCGATAAGATTGCCTTTACTGGCTCAACAATCACCGGAAAGGCTATTATGAAGAAGGCTTCCGAGCACCTCAAGAACGTCACTCTCGAGACCGGAGGCAAGAGCCCTCTCATTGTTTTCGACGATGCCGATTTCGAGCAAGCGGTCAAGTGGTCTCACGGTGGCATCATGGGTACGTCAAAGATTCCGACCCTGTTCCGGTAATACATATCTGGCTAGCTTTAGGCAACATGGGACAAATCTGCACAGCCACATCCCGTATCTTTGTGCAAGACACTATCTACGAGAAGTTCCTCGAGGCTTTCCACGAGCAAGTCAAGTCTGCCACCGTTATCGGTGATCCTTTCGACGAGAACACCACACACGGTCCTCAAGTTTCCAAGGCACAATATGAGAAGATCCTGTCACTTATTGAGGCAGGAAAGTCAGAAGGAGCAGGTCTCCTGACTGGTGGTGCCCGTTCTGGAGACAAGGGTTTCTATATTCAGCCCACTGTCTTCCGTGATGTCAAGCCAAACATGAAGATTGCTCGGGAGGAGATCTTCGGACCTTGCGTCATCATTGCGCCTTTCTCAACAGAGGCCGATGCGATTAAGAGTGCCAATGATACCAGTTACGGCCTGGGTGCTGCCGTCTTCACTGAGAACCTCCGCAAGGCTCACCGTGTCGCCGCGGGCGTTCAGGCTGGAACCGTTTGGGTAAGACATGCATGCGTTCAGAGACTACCAAGATCACCGCTAACTTTTATATGTAGATCAACAGCTCTCGGGACACCCACTATGGTGTTCCCTTCGGAGGCTCCAAGCAGTCTGGTATCGGCCGTGAGCTTGGATCCTACGCTTTGTCTGCATACACCCAGGTCAAGGCTGTCCACGGTACATTCTTCCTCTCCCCCTTCTATGACACACCCACAGTATCTAACTTGAGTTAGTCAACATGGGCTAAGTTCTGTCTGCTGGTTTAAGCTCTTAGCCA